TGCCCCTGGGGCAAGGGGCTGGACTCGATGATCTTCCAAGGTCCCTTCCAGCCCTAATGTCTATGAAATCCATACAACAAGTAGGGATGGCAACAGCCTGGTAGATGAGAAATTTGGTTTGGGTCCTGATGTCATGATCATTGAAGACATGATTTAGAGACGTCCAAAGGCACCACTGGCAGATTTTATCCAGTGTTGAATATTGATGTCCACGTTTACTTTTTGGGAAAGGTGGCTACTCAGGGAGGGGAAATGCTCAATATTTTCCAATTGTAATTGTAATGTGTAGAGAAGCAGCTGTTTGAGGTGGGTTGGTAAAAACTTTTAGTTTCCATGAAGGTGACGGTGAGTCCAAGCATTTCATATGCTTCATAGAACCAATCAAGAATGATGTAGAGCTCTTCAAAGGGGTGAGCACACACAACAGAATCAGTGTACTGAAGCTCAGTAATGGAGGTGTTGATTACCTTGAACTTGGAATGTAATCATTGATGTTAAAGGGATTCCTGTCCATGAGATATCGGATACTGATTCTGTAGCAAGGTTCCTTAACTTCTGCTGCTTAAAGAACCGGACAGCATTAGAGGGTTGCAAGGTGGTGTAAGCAACTGAGCATGGGCCAGCTGCAGAGAAGCAGCACAGGGGAAAAGAAAGAGAAGAGCTTCAGAGCTACAGATGGGTATCAGAAGCAAGGTGCCCTGCATTAAGTTAGAGTCGCAGTCTTGCAAACAGATAGGTAGCTAAGAAGTAAATGAAAGACAGCCAGGCAGACTGGCATGGAACAGGGCAAGTAGAAATAACAGGCTAAGCAGAAACTTGACTCAGTCAGAGGTCAGGTGACCAGAAAGGGGTGGAGCTCCCATATACTTAAATCCTAGCTCCAGGGCTAGAGGGTTAGTCAGGCCTTAAGCTGTGGAGAGGAAAGAATCTTTGTGAGCCTACACTGTCTAAGGCAGGAGATCCAGTCAGCTCTTAAGTATCCAAAGAAGTTGGAGAGAGCCAGCAGACAAAGAGGGCTGGAGGTTGCAGGCAATCTGGAGGCTAGAGGTTTGGCTGCAGCTAGCTAGGGTGGATCTGGAACCCTGCAATGGTCTGAGACAGTGGGCTGCATGACCAAGAGCTTTATAGACTGATGGTAACAGCCTTGAGAGAGTCAGGGACTCAGAGGGTTGAGACCAGTATAGGGTCTGAGGGCCTGGTGAAGGACATAAAGAGTAAAACCTATGAGGCATGAGAGTAGCTGGAGGCCACAACTACAGCCCCTAAGGAAATAGAGCTTGAAGACTCATAAGTAGGGCCAAAGGAGTCCAGTGCAAGGGACATTTTCTGGTTGAATACTGTTTTACTGAAAAACTTACAAGCTTTGAACCCAATGTGTGAAGAACAACTTGTTAGCAGCACTAACAAGAGTTGATTTTTTTTCTTTTTAGGCAGAAAACTTAAGAAATCACAAACTTAACATTTTTCTTTTAACTGTTTGTGTGTGAAGTTGGGCAGTCCTTTACTCATGGTTTCCTAGGAAGCTAATGAAGAGGGACCCTCTTTTGCTAAGGAAGTGCGATTCTCAGAAATGGGTCCAGAGTATCATGAGTCCATTAGTATCATGAGGCACTAAGTTATAATTGATTTAGGAACTAGATTAGAAATGGAAGGTTCTATAACTTGCACTTGTACCTCATAGAAATATGGGGAAACTTATTAAATACCTGCACAGTGACTCAAACCTATTAAGTATCAAGTAGTCTAAAAATGGTATTGTCCTTAAAATGTATATCCAAAGAATGGCTTTTTGGATAAAAAAAGCCATTGGATAAAAAAGCACATTTTAGCCAGAATCTCTCTGTACACCAGTTCCCCATTTGTGAAATGAACATAACTTCCTACCTTACAGAGAAATTGTAAGGACAAATTAATGTTTGTGGAGCACTTGGATACTGTAGTGACAAGTGCTGTAGAAAAGCCCACTAGGAGATCAATAATTCTGTATGTAGTTCAGGGTCTTGGTAGCATTCAGTAAAGTCCACAGATGGTATAATGAAAATAGGGGAAAATACTGCTACATTTGCCTATAAGCAATATAGCAGAAGGCCTGTGGGAGGGAAAAAATGTGATCAGATGGAAACAGACAGCACGGATACAAGAGTGAACAAGGATCAGATAAGAAACGTCAGAAGTAAAGTTGTCAAACTTTTGAATGTTTGTGTGGCGACCTTAATAACATTCTTTTAACTATTTTTCTCTGTAATAATTAATAGCAGTATGTACATTTTCAAGTTTACTTTTTTATTTTGACTCCAGTTAGAAGAAAAAAAATATTTCATTTCACATAAATATCTTTATAAATATACATAACTTTGATAGAACTGGGGAAAAACTCAGTTGGCATCCTAGCATTTCAAACGACTTCTCTTCCAAATACACAGTCACTGTGTTTATAAAAGACTAAAATCATTTGAATTAGAATTTCTTATAACTGAGTATCCACAAGATGGAAAAACTTACCTGGATTTTTTTTCTCTCTACCTACTTTGCATAGATCAGGCTCTGCATACAACCAGAAGAAACTTGCAACAGTTCTTCTGGAAATGCTTTCCTGTGGGAACAAAGGAAAAAGGGAAGATTGCAGTGGGAGGTATTGGGTGACTTAGTGATTTGCCAGTATAAATTCTACTGCTAAAATACTTACTGCATATATACCCTAATTTTAATTTGCTTAGGAAACAGAAGACATTACTATACCTACTAAAAGATTTTTTTTTTAACTAGCTTATTTAATGTGGGAGGTACTTATAGAGTTCTGTGGCAAAATTTTAATAAATCATGTTGGAGCAGCAACTTTTTTATCCAGGTAATAAAAATATAATAGTGCCTTTCACCAAAATTAATCCAAAGAACTTTATTATGAATATAATGCATCTCATTTAATCTTCTGGGGGATGGGGAGAATGGCAGTTCCTGATGACAGGACACTAATTACATCCTAAAGCTGAAAGCATATTTAAGAACACTTAAGGCACCTTCTCAGCACCTAGCAGGATCAGGCCACTACTGAGGCACATGGTACAACAATAAGGGTTGAGAAATTTGGATAGTACTGGATCTTTGTTACCATAAAGTAAATCCCACAAATCTCCCAAACACCAGAAATCTAGCAGCAAGGGAGTGACAATTATGGCTGTTCCATTTTCCCACTGCCAATTTTTTTGATCCTTGGGGAACCCTGCAGGCTACATGACATGGCTTGGGGGTTGGGCATCCTTGGATTAGCTGAAAGACCCCTTCCTCCCCCACCCCAAAATTATCCTGCTAAGAAGCATGATTGTCAAATCAGAACAGTCGTTTCATACTGTATTTCATTTCAATGTGATAAAATAGGCTGTTGTCAGAAGTGAATAGGGAGGATGAAATAAAGTTCCCATTAACCAATTAGAGACCCTTCCCCCTGCTATCTTCCATGATGAGTGTTTCTCATCTCACACAACAATCATCTCTAGCCATGTTAGTCTCCAGTCAGGTGGAAGGCAGTGTACAGATACATCTTAGTCTCACTAAACTGGAGATGCAGAAGCTTTTCTGAGCCCCAGCTCATTTCATCAGATGCTGCATCAAATCTGCCAGTGAGGACGGGAGCTTGGGCCCCAGAAAGCCTCTCCGATTTTAGTTAATCATGTACTTAATAGGTGCAACAGCTACGTATGAAGGGAAGCACTTTAGCCAAAGGGACGATGAATGTGTTGGTGGCAACGAAGCTCTGGGTTGCAGTCTTGCCTCTTCTTTTTCTGCAAATAACACGTGGGTATTATTCATAACCTTCTTACTGAATCCTTCTCACAGACAGGCCTGCAGCAGTGTGGTGGTCGGCAGCAGCTTTTCAGTTGATGGCACGCCACGCATTTAAGATGTGTGCAGAGGCTAAAGCCTATGGTGCCTTGTCGGTGCAGCCAGTAGCGAGAGGGGTTTCTATTGGAGCTGATTCAGACCTGCACCCTGGAGAAGACGTGGCTGTTCCTCCTGCGAGCCCCTCTCTTAGATTCAAACAGTTGCCCACGAACAACGTGTGCCCCTGGAGGCTGGGGGGGGGGCACAGCGACCGCCTGCAGGCAGCGGGGGCACGGTGGCAGCAAGCAGGGAGCTCCTGCAGATGGCTGCAGCCGGGGCCGGGGGGTGGCGAGCGCCGACCACCCACAGGTGCCGCCGTCCATGTCGGCAGCGCTTCTTTCAGGGGGTGCACCGCCAACCTCAGGGGGTGCACATGCACCTGTGTGCATCCCCTACGTGTTGCTAATGCAGTTGCCAGCCCTAACCAAGGAGGTTTCTTCACATGATGTATGGCTTGACATCAGGGAGGCAAACACTACATTTTAGAAACCCACTGGACAACTGCATCAAGCAGATTCAATCGCTTCTCGGCCTCTTGAAGGCTCGGATCAAGTTAATTTTAGTTAACGCGCTGTCATTTATGTTTCGATGACTCTCCTGGAGACCGTTCCCTAACAGCTGCAGACCCCCGGGGCAGGCAGCCAGACCCGCCGTCCCTGGGGGAGGCGACTGTCCAGAGCTGCGACCGCCAAGAGCTTCCTAAGAGCTGCCATTTTCTGGGTCAAACCATGGGCCCACCTGGCCCAGTCTCCTCAGCGCTTGAGCACCCCCAAGCCCTGCGCCAGGGCGGCCCAGTTAAGCCCTCAAGCTTTGAGAAGCAACGGCCGGGTCCACCCTGCTGCTCCCTGCTGTGAAAGGGGCAGAGGAGCAGAGCCCTCCACGCGGCTCCTGAAGCACCGCCCCCTGCTGCAGGCGGCTCAAGACAGGCCCCGCCCCCTTCACTCACGCCCCAGGAGGACGCGGCGACGTCGCGGCCCGGCCGCAGTGACGTCACGGCACGACCCCGCCCTCCCCGGAAGTGAGCGGGCGGCCGTACGGGAGGCGGCCGGGGCCGCGCCCGGGGGCGGGGG